TCGGACCAGTAAGTCTGGTCTTTTTTGTGAATTTGAATTTTGTTCTACATTTTTCTCCCACTCTGTCCAGGACCCTCTGTTGTGATCCCTGTCAGAGCTGTCGGTGGTTGTAGCCAGGCACCATCTAGTTCTTCTGGGCTCAGACTTATGGAGGCTGTGGTTTATGTGGTCCATTAGTCCTTTGGACTAATATTTTCCTTGTGTCTTTGTTTTTTTTCACTTTCTTTTGCTCTGGATGTGATGAGACCAATAGATGTATCTTAGGTGGACGCTCGCAAGCTTTTAAGGCCCCAGGCGATACTCACCAAAATAGAATGTAGAACATTTTCTTTATGAACTATGTTATGTCAATTGACCTAGATGTCCCCGGAGACTGTGGTCCCTAGCCCTCAGCCCCAGAAACTTGGTCCCTCAAGGTGTTTGGATGTGTATAGTAAGCTTCTATTACTTTGCCTTGGTCAAGTTGTGCTGTTTCCCCTATATTGTGTGTTCTCTTTTACGTCACCAAAGTTAACACTTGTCTACTGTCTAGTTAGTCATTTCCCCTCCCTAACCCTCCCCACCCTTGTAACCATCAAACATTTTTTTCTGTGTGTAAACTTTTTCTTGAGTTTTTTTAAATAGTGATCTCATACAATATTTGTCCTTTTGTGATTGACTTATTCCACTCAACAGATTCATCCATTTTGTAAGATGTTTCACAGATTCATCCTTGTTCTTTATTGTTGGTAGTATTCTATTGTGTGTATGTATGATAATTTGTTTATCCATTCATCTGTTGATGGGCATTTAGGTCGTTTCTATCTTTTTACTGTTGTGAATAATGCTGCAATGAACACGAGTGTGCATATGTCTGTTTGTGTGACCGCTCTTATTTCCCTAGGATATATTCCTAGGAGTAGGATTGCTGGATCATATTATATTTTTATTTCTAGATTTTTAAGAAGGTGCCATATCGTTTTCCATAGTGGTTGTACCCTTTTACATTCCCACCAGCGATGCATAAGACTTTGAATCTTCCTGGAACCTCTCCAACATTTGTTATTTTCTGTTTGTTTGTTTTTTATTAGTGCCAGTAATGTCGAGTGTGATGATATCTCATTGTAGTTTTGATTTGCATTTCTCTAATGGCTAATCGTCGTGAGCATTTCCTCATGTGTCTGTTAGCCACCTGAATGTCTTCTTTGGGAAGTGTCTGTTCATATCCTTTGCCCATTTTTAAATTGGATTATTTGTCTTTTTGTTGTTGAAGTTTGAAGTATTTTATAGATTTTAGAGATTAGATCCTTGTTGGATATGTTGTAGCCAAAAATTTCCTCCCAGTCTGTAAGTTCTCTTTTTATTCTTGGTGAAGTCTTTTGATGAGCATTAGTGTTTAATTTTTAGGAACTCCCAGTTATCTAGTTTATCTTCTGGTATTTGTGCATTGTTAGTTATGGCCTAACATTGTCCCTATTTTTTCTTCCATGATTTTATCATTTTAGTTTTTATATTTAAGTCTTTGATCCATTTTGAGTTAGTTTTTGTGTAAGGTGTGAGGTATGGGTCCTGTTTCATTGATTTTACAGATGGACATCCAATTTTGCCAGCACCATTTGTTAAAAAGACTGTATTTTCCCCTATTTAATGGACTTTGGTCCTTTGTCAAAAATCAGCTGACCATAGGTGGATGGATTTACGTCTGGGTTCTTGATTATGTTCCATTGGTCTATGTGTCTGTTGTTGTACTAGTTCATTGGCTAATTTTTGAAAGTGGACCTCTAGGCCTTTCTTCCTAGTCTATCCTAGTCTGGAAGCTCCACTGAAACCTGTTCACTATGGGTGACCCTGCTAGTATTAGAAATATCAGTGGCATAGCTTCCAGCAACATAGCAACATGAAAGCCACCACAGTACAAGAAACAGACTGGTGGCTGGTGATAATTAAATTTAACATGATTCAATTTTCTATCCTCACAAACTTCTGCAATCAACTTATCCCCAAAAGGGTTATTGTCATCAATAGTTTGTTTCACCTTTCGCCTTCTTTAAGAGTATATGTATACGTGTGTGTATAGGTTGTTGTTGTTAGGTGCTGTCGAGCCGGTGCCGACTCATAGTGATCCTATGTATAACAGAACAAAACACTGCCCGGTCCTGCGCCATCCTCACAATCTTTATGTTTAAGCCCTTTGTTGAAGCCACTGTTTCAGTCCATCTCATTGAGGATATTCCTCTTTTTTGCTGACTCTCTACTTTACCAAGCATGATATCCTTCTCCAGGGACTGGTCCCTCCTGATAACATGTTCAAAGTGTGTGAGACGAAATCTTGCCATCCTCGTTTCCAAGGAGTTCTCTGGCTGTATTTCTTCCAGGACAGACTTGTTTGTTCTTCTGGCAGTCCATGGTATATTCAATATTCTTCGCCAACACCATAATTCAAAGGCATCAATTCTTCTTTGATCTTCCTTA